AGTAGATTTCTCCAATGACATCCTTCTACGACCTGTCAAAATCCCTTACCCTCACGTGACTTTCTTTTACTTCACTCAGATGAATACCCAGCTCTCGTAGGGTAGAGAGCGAGCAGATATTGACTCCTGATCCTCCATCAATAAGTACTCGGGACAACACCTTATCTCCACATTTGACAGTGATGTGTAAAGCTTTGTTGTGACCCACGCCCTCTATAGGAAGTTCATCTCTTCGGAAAGTGATCATATTTTCTTCGACCATCTTCTCGATGGTCGTTGCCAGTGCCTCACTGGTGGTGTTGCTTGGCATGCTCACCCCACTTAACACTTTCATCAGGGCGTCTTTGTGACTGTCAGAACTCATCAGTAGATCAATGATTGATATTTGCACTGGGGTTTTCTTCAATTGTTCCTCCACGGAGTATTCTTTGGTTGGCATCCTCTTCCAGAATTCTGCGGCCTCCGAATCTATTATATTTCTTCTTTGAATTTGTTCCTTCCTGGATTCCCCGGTTTACATCCTTAGGAGCGTAACACCTTTCTGACCTGTTCTTTCCATGAGCTGCTGTGGAATCCGTCATCTTGGGTTTCCCTTTCTGTTGATATGTCCACGGGACTGTCTTGTATTCCTGATCCTCTTCATCCCTGATAGCAACGGTGGACTGTTGCTGGTATGTTTGGACCATCACATTAGGTTTTAACTGTATTGTGACCATTAGAGTCCTTCGAGGTGGATCTCTCACAGCCTCAGCATTTCCTATCGTCATGATGGTTCCTTTTAGATCATATTCTTCATCCAGGGTAATCATATTAGCTCCTTAATTCCGATGATTTGGCAGCAGCTTGCGGTTCATATTGGGCGGAGCTGGGGCACACTGAATGGCCCCACTTTTGATCAGTGACTCAATTTTTTTTTCAATTTGAAGCAATCCTTAGTATCATGCCCCGGTAAGTTTGAGTGGTAGATGCACCGTTTGGTTGCATCAAAGTATTTTGAAGGATACTCAGGAACCCTTCCTTCTATTGGATATATTAAGCTTGCTCTCCTCACTCTTTCAAATAGTTGAGCCAAAGGTTCAGCAATCAGGGTATAGTTTTTGGAACCTCTTTCTTCAAAATTTGGGCGAGGTCGGGGTGTATAGGTGGGTCGGTTTTGATGAGTGGTAGTTTGAACTGGAGCATATGGTCGTGGTGCATTTGGATTTGCATGGGTATGAGGTGGGTTATATTGAGTTTGAGAATTGTAGTATGGTTGTGTGTGGTACACTGGAGCATAAGCAGGTGGGTGTGGGAAATGGGTGTTTGGAGAGTAAAAGGTGTTTTCATGGTGTGGATTGGACTGGTTATAGGGAATGATTGATGATACCTCTTCCTTTTTCTTTTTTCCACTGCCTATTGATCCTGATTGGATTGCTTTGCTAGCTGCTTGCAATGCAGCCATAGATTGTACCTTGTCGGACTTTATACCTTCCTCTAAAAAGTCTCCCATTTTGACAAGTTCAGGGAACTTCTGCTCCATCATGCCTTTTATTTTCTCAAAGTAAATCCCTTCCTGAGCCCTGATGAAATACTTAGTCAACTCACTGTCGTCTAACGGGGGTTGTGCTCTGGCAGCCTCTGACCTCCAACGACGTGCATATTCTTGGAATGATTTGGACGGTTTCTTCTGCAAGTTTACTAGTGAGAACCTATCGGAGATGATCTCTGTGTTGAACCGGAAGCGATTCTTAAAATCTTCTGTCATATCCTGCCACTCCCTCAAGTTTTGGGGATATCGGCGAGTGTACCAAGTAAGTGCTTCCCCTGTCATACTCCTTATGAATAACTTCATCCTTAACTTCTCATTTCTTCCTACTCCAACTAGCTTATCCTAGTAGGCTCTCAAATGTGTATGGGGATCACATGTCCCATCAAAGATATAAAACTTTGGAGGCTTGTACCTATCTGCATGTCCACATCAGGATGGATACACGGATCCTCATAGCCTAGACTTTCGTTCCCTCGAGCGACCTGAAGGTTCTTCATTTATTTTTTTCAATGCTCGTAATTACTTGGACACTTATTCCTCCTCCTTATACTTAGCTTCCCTCTCCATTTCGGCATATTGATCAACTTCATAAGGCATCTTGACCGTGACAGGCACTGTGAATATGGGTTCTGAAACGGCATATACGAGATGAACATATCGCTCATGTGCAGCGGTATGTGCCGTGTGTATGTGTTGGTTTTGATTGGTGGTGGAGGTGGCACTATCACGAGGAGGGATATTTTTCTTTGAACTGTGTTGGTAGCAATTGGTGGATTTTGCGGTATTTGAACATAATTTGGTGCGGACGTGAGATTAACTGAGAAAGTTTTTAATCTAGAAATAAATAGTTTCGTTATTAGCTTTCTTTGCGTTTCTCTTTTGTTCCAAAAAGAAATCATTCTGCTATTCCTTCCCAAAAAAAAGCATGAATTTTTCATGTTGATTTAAGATTGTTATAAGCATGGATTTTAAAAAAGAAAAATCTACGGATTTCAATTATCACAAAAATAGATCAAGTCAATCCAACCTAAATGCAATTACGGTTAGACTTCTCAATAATAACCATTTTTTATAACAATACTTCGTTATAACGATCAAGTTTTTTTTTTTGGAGCCAATTTTTTATTTTATGTTATAATATATATTTTTTATGACAGTACTTCGCTATAGCAGCAAAGAATTATCAGAACAAACGAGACTATTATAATTTATAGAGAGGTTTGATTGAATGTACCATCTTGTGTTTGCTGATTATTAAAACCAAGAAAGAAATCATGAGGTCCCTCAACTCTTAGCATGGAGAATAGCAACACGTATAGCTAGATTGAGAAATTATTCACTATAGATATTGTCATACGAATAGCACCCCAAAATTTTAATGTGAAATAATAGCTCATTTCATGTTCAGGTGTTCTTACTTTACATTCTTGTATATGCTCAATAGGCAATGTGCCAACACATTAGAATATCCAGCTCCTGTCTATTGTGAGATACAAAGGTTTGAGATGGAAGGGGAAAGTGGTTTCGGGAAGAAAAAAATTATTTATTTGCATTCAGTGTTTATATCAAAATTAATCAAATAATTTAACTAAACCAATTACAAATTTAAAATGATAAATACATCATTTAATAATAGTTAAGTGATAAAAGTGCAATTAAAAACTTTTAAATTCCAAATTTAGTTAGACATAAATAAGTTGTTCTAATTGACAAACACTTGATTTATAAACATTCAAAATAATTAAACTATGAAAAGAAGTTTGATGAGTTGGAGTTGACTGGTTGGTATATTAATTAGTGGTTTGAAATTTCTGCAACCAAATAAACAAAGAAAATAGTTATATAAAAAACAAAACAAGAAAAATGATGATACAACTAGTCATGAATATTATTTTAAAAGTTAGGTAGGAGAAGTGGGGTTGTATTGGAATGAGCTGTGTTTCCTTTGCTAGCATTAATGCTTTCCCCTGAGCTGTCCTTTTGGCTAACTGCTTAAGCTAGGCCAACTCTTTTCTTTCATTTCATAACACTACCTTCCAACTTTATATGAATTTTAAAATATATTTTTTTGTAGGATAAAAGGGAAAAAGAATGGACTAATCCTTTATTTACCATATTACAATCAGACATTTTTATAATAATAATTTTATATTTCTATAACAATAATTTTTCATAACAGTATTATACTATAATAGTCAAGTTTTCTTTGAAACTAATTTTTTATATTATGTTATAATATATGTTATCTATAACAGTAATTCACTCCAACAACAAAAACACATCGAAATAAACAAGAGTGTTATACAAAAGTTTGATGTATTATTGTTTGTCCTCTTTAGTTCATCACATCTTGTTCTCCCTGTCTCTCTTTCTGTGACCTTCATTTTACTTGTGCTCCACAGTTTTTACATTGGTCCACTTTTCAGACTCTCCTTAGTGTGCATGTCAGGTTGGCTGGAAGAAAGAGGTGGACAATGGCTTTTGGGGGAAGATATTTGACACCTGTTCTATGGTCTCAGATTTTTGTGTTCCAAGTGTTACAACTGTTAAACCATGTTGGATCAAACAAGCATAGTAAAAATGTACCTCGGTGCAATAAGCTTCTGCTATATGTGGGGTCCGGGAAAGGCCGGACGACAAGGGTTTATTGTACACAGTTTTACTTTACATTTTTGCAAGAGACTATTTTCATGGATCAAATTCATAACCTCTTGGTCACATGACAACAACTTTACCGGTTACATCAAAACTTCCTTCAATCAAGCATATTATTATTATTATTATTATTATTATTATTATTATTATTATTATTATTATTATTATTATGTGCTTCTTTTATCAAAAGAAAAAAAAAAGGATTCTGTTATGTATATGGGGTGCAAAATAGATGGTAAAAGCTCTGCTTGGTGAGTGTGTGACAACTATAGTAATAGTGGCGTAACAGTATCAATGGTTTTCTTTCATTTGTTTTTCATAATCTTGTGGTCACAAGCAAATTTGCACAAATGCAGTCTTTGTTTAGCAATTTTTACTGTCTTTTAATTGTAGGTATTAATGCACACATATGGGATTATGTATATCTATATATTTAGACACAGGTTGGGTTGTGGTTGGACTAGATAAGTGTCATCATAATCATCATTATCAACAATCCAACAATATTACAAAAACTCAATCAGTGAGCAGTAAGAAAGAAGCAAATACAGAAAGCAAAATCAAAAGAAAAAGAGAGTATTGGTAAAAAGCCAAAAAGAGAAGACTAGAAAATGACTCTTATAGCCAAAACTTTTGATTTTGAAAAGAATTTGTCTTCTCTCCATTTTCTCCTATCTTTTCAATCCTTTCACACTAATCACATACTAATTCTTTTACCTACACCACCATAATCACTTCATTATACTTTATAACCCCCTATAAACACCCTCCCCCCACACACCCCATTAAAGAAACAGAAAGAGTCAAAGAAGAGTAAGGTGGCTGTGGGCATATATCAAATTCATGATAGGCAGCTTAAAAAACAATAACATTCCTTACAAATATAGGTTACACGAGTGTGCTCTTTTCCCTTCTCAGCTTATATATGCAAACATTTTTCTTTCTTTCTTTCTTGTAATATTGAGAGGTCCCCACCTGCTACCACCACTGAGTTTGAGTTGGATTCAGACCCCACCCCACCCACCCCTCTTCTTCCACAGGTGCAGTAGCAGTACTCACTGATTCTGTTGTTATAGGGAACCCACACCTACCCTTCCCTTCTCTTTCTTTCTCCAAAGATAGCAGTCAACCACAAAGTAAAAAAGAGAAACAAACCCCACCACTAATTCCACTTGTTACTGAATTCTTTTTTGGCTCTAAAGACACTGCAATTGCAGCAGCAGCAACAACTTAATTTTCAAGTCTCTTTCTTCCTTTCTTTCCTTCTTTCTTGCTTGGCTTAATGTTTTCAATTCATCTTGTCAATTAGACAAATGTTTGAAGCATCAACAAGAGATCTTTGTTAGACCCCCCCTTACCCTTTCACCTTGCATACCCACCCCCCCACCCCTATCTTCTCCTCTTCCCAAGATGGAATTTATGGAACCACATAGGAAAAAGCAAAGTGGTGGTAGTAGTACTAGTGGCACAGACCACCACCACCACCACCAGCATGCACAACATCAACAACACAACCAAGAAACTCCCTCTTCTTTACAATTAGTTTCACCTCATCAAAGTCAACCTGACCCTCCTACCCCTGGGTCCAACCAACCCCACCCCCACCCCCATGGTCCCTTCATGGGCTCCATTTCCATGCAATCAAGAACTCTATTTTCTCCTCCTTCAACCAATAATTCTTCCTCCTCCACCACCCCTACCACAACCCCCACCCCCAACAACACTTTATCCACAAAAGTAGTCAAGAAACCTTCTAAAGACCGCCACACCAAGGTGGACGGCCGAGGGCGGCGCATACGCATGCCGGCCTTATGCGCCGCCCGAGTCTTCCAGCTCACCAGAGAATTGGGTCACAAATCTGATGGTGAAACCATTGAGTGGCTCCTGCAACAAGCTGAACCGGCAATTATAGCTGCTACTGGAACCGGTACAATTCCGGCTAATTTCTCGACCCTCAACGTTTCCCTGCGTAGCAGTGGGACCACAATTTCAGCTCCGCCGTCAAAATCTGCGCCTCTCTTCATCCACGGTGGCTCCACCACTATGCTAGGCTTCCACCACCAGCTATCCAACGCCGGTTTTGGGCAAGACCCAGATGAGAATAATTACATGAAAAAGCGGTTCAGAGAAGACACCAGTGGTGCAAACTCACCTTCAGGTGATAAACCGGAAAGAACCGGAGTACAAGCTCATGAACCGGTATCAGATTCTAAACCCGGTTCATCACAAACGTCGAGTTTCATTCCGGCTCCGGCCATGTGGGCGGTTGCACCAGCTGCTGGTAACGTTGGTAGCGCGTTCTGGATGTTACCAGTGAGTGGAGGTACCGGTTCAACGACGGCTTCGGTCGGGGTGGCTCAACCGGACCACCAATTGTGGCGCTCAAGAATTGGTGGGTTCGAGTTCCCGGGTAGTGGCCGGTTCAGTCCGGTTCAGTTGGGTTCAATGGTTTTGCAGCAGTCACAGCCGGTTCAGCAGCTGGGATTAGGAGTTACAGAGACAAATATGGGAATGTTGTCATCAATGAATAATGCATATAATAGCAGTGGTAACAATAGGGTTGATTTGGGTATGAATTTGGAGCAACATCATCACCATCAAAATCAGACTCAAGGTAGTGATAGTGGTGATGAAAATCACAAAGATTCTCAATCATAGTTTACAAATCTCTATGCAACCACTCCAAGGATGTATTAGCAAACAGTTTCTCGTAGGAGGAAACGTCTTTCTTCGCATGAGTATGGTCGCGTATACGTGACCTCTCCAAACCTACTTGTGGGACTACACTTTGTTGTTGTTAACCATTGCAAAAAAGGTCAAGTAAATTGAAGAAAGAAAAAAAAAGGTTCCCATTTTATGACTTCTTGATTGTTTTTTCTTAGTGTAATTAGGGAGAAGATTGTGTTCATTGTAATTTTCTTTTTTGACTCTTTGCTTTACAATTGTTCTTAATTTGGATTTAAGAATTTTTTTTTTCCCCCTTTATTTTTGGTTGGTTGATCCAATTTGTCAATCACATTTTGGTATATGTCTTTTGGCATTTAGAGAGGAAATATGTTGGTTCCGAATTGGAAATATGAAGAGTGGAATTGATTCATTTAGGTGACAACCAACAATGGTAACATAAGGAAAATGCCTACACATGTTCCTCCAAGTCTTCTTGATAATACTGAGTAAAGTCTTCTCTTCAAAAGCCCTTCTTGACTTGTCTTTCAAATTATAAAGTCCCAATTATAAATGACCCCTCAGCTTTTACCGGCCTTGGATTATTTTTAAGAATTTATTGTCAAATCTAATATTTATACCATTTTAGGGCAGTTCAGTAAACTTATTGATTATTGTGTAATACAATAATATGATGGATAACAACCACCCAAACAAGCCGTAAAATAAAGATTATTTGAACTAAGAATGAATTTACGTTAATTTTCAAGAATCAAATCCAAATATTTTGTCGACAAAATTACCCCAGGTAGGTTTAGTACTATCAAATCTAATCCAAAGTTATTTTTTAAACTTAATCCAGAAACAGTTTTCCCACAATAATCTTTTTAAAAATACCCTAGTTTATGAAAAACCATTGAAATTCAACTGCCACCGAGATTTCAGTGGTTCCCATCAAATTGTTGACTTTGTCTCGATTTAAATAGAACTGCGTAGCTCTTCTTTTTATCTGATTGATTCCCTTTCTTTTTCTGTCCTAGTAAAATAGTAGAGTCCGGAACCAAAGTATTTTTTTTGGATTCAAAACACAAAAATAGGTGAAAAATTAATTGATGACCAATTTATATATAACGCATGGATTGAATGCGCTATATCTTAGTCACATGTTTGTTCGTTAAGGTATAGCGCATGCCACTCATACGCTACATTTGAATTATAAAATGGCGCTCAAAATATAAGTGTAGCACATATACGGGATACACTATACCTGAAGTTGAAAAGACAGATAGGTATAGCATATCTCATATATGCGTTATACTTATATAAAAAAATGGCTCAGCCATCTTCCTCGACAGAACGCTGTGAAACACCCCCCTCCCCCCTATTTTTTACGCAAAAATCTCCATTGGAGCCCACCCGTCCCCAAAAAATCGTGTCCCCTCCATATTTTAGCGAGCTAACACCGGATCCAAGGCGTTGTCGAATAGTGGATCTCGTCTACTGCTCGTTTCGGCTCCCAAATCATCAATTTTTCACAATTCAAAATGCTGTAAATCGAGGTATTCCGACTTACTTTTTGGTAAAACTCATGTATATAAAGTGCTTATTAGTTATTTTTACTGTGTTGTATGCTTTTTGTGATTGTTTTGTGATATAATTATTTTTTTATTTTTTATCCGGATTAGTTTATTTATGTGCTAAAGAATTATTTAAAATATATATTGTTATTTTATTGAATAGTGTTATATGTGATTTTAGTATTGTACGTATATTAATATGTGACTTTATTATTGTTTAGTGCCTTTAGTGTTATGTTGTGCCTTTAATTGTTATGTAGTGCCCTTTCGCGTAGTAAAATCGATAATAAATTTTAGCTTATGGTAATTGACTTTGTTTATGGCCATTTAAAGTAGTGTGACTTTAGTGCTCTTTAAGATTCCATAGTCTAGAATAAAAACTATGTGCTCTCCTTAACAAACTCAGTTAGAGTACACAATTATGGATTTAATGTATTAATAGATAATTATCAAATATTAGATATGAATCATAAAATAATCAGTTGACGAAACAAAAGAAACGTTGCCTGAAATTTTGGGCAAAATATGACAGTTAATACACAAATCATTACGAATAAAATAGACTCAATATTATTTAATATTACGATTGTAGTATTTTTTTTTATATGAATAATTATTGCATATATCTTGATTACTTATGAAAATTTAATATTTAATTCTGTTATAACCCAAAAAAATCTGAAAAAAAAAGATGATAGTTCAAACAAAATCCTGCAGAATTTTAATAAAAAATGTAGGAAACTAACATTTGAAATATTAATATGAAAAATTTATCAACCTAAATATTTGTTATATGAATAATTACTAAAATATCTTATTAGTTATGAAAATTAAATATTTAATTCTCTATTAACCCCAAAAATATCTGGAAAAAAAAAAGAAGATGATAATTCAAACAAAATCCTCCCAAATTTTAGTCAAAAAATGTAAGAAAATAACATATAAAACAATAATATATAAAATTTATCAACCTAATTATTTTTATATGAATAGTTATTAAATATATCACGATTAGTTATGAAAAATAATTATTTAATTCTCTTATAACCCAAAAATAGCTGAAAAAAGATGATAGTTCAAACAAAACCCTGCCGAATTCTAATCAAAATGTAAGAAACCAACATATAAAATAATAATATAGAAAATGTATCGACCTAAGTAATAATATAGAAAATTTATCGATTAAATATTAATATAAAAAATATTGCAATATATTTAAAGATGTTAAACGATTAAATAAAAAAAATACTTTAATTAATATTGTTCAATTTACAGACATCGTCATGGAGCTTCCCCTGTGCATCCCGGACCTGCATCTCGAGAGCTACTGGTGCTCCAGGGCAACCATAGGTCTTCACACATCTGGGATGGGTACAAAATGTCGTCAAGATCCCTTGTGAGGGTAACTATATCCGGCATACTGGGCAACTGATCAAGGTACGGAATCCCTCTTGAATGAAAGGGCACATGTGGCCCGTACACTCTAGGTCTAACGGGAGGTGGAGTCTGCATATACGGAGCATGCTCATTGGTGGCATCATGCTCCCTCGGCAAATCAGGTTGATCTTTCTTATTCTCATCAACATCACCCTCATCAGGGAAGGGTGTGTCATCTCCAGACTCATCAGCATTGTTGTCATAACCGCTATCATCTTCCTGACTCTGTGCATCTGCCAGATCCTGATTAAATATATCGTCTTCGGGCAATTGAGTAAGGACAGGACCTTCAAATTGCTCGTTTTCACTACACAACCAATAAAATAATGAGTTTTTCAAATTCATCCAAACATTATATATAAACTTTATCACTTAACTTACAAATCATAATATGTTGATATCCCATGATATACATTATCCTGTTATTGACGACTCATGGATGGATCATCATGATCCAACACATCAAAATTAGGCATATTCCAATTGTCCGTTGATTCATAACTTATAAAATTCATATCTATGTGGTACCCATTTTGGAATATATGAGTGTTAATACAAATATAATATATAAAAAAAATATAGTAATACAAAGAAAAATTGAAATTTACCAATCGGCTTGTGGATTATATAAACTTAGGGAGAAATTATGTCCTCCCTCCTCATTCGCCCCTAGATATAAGTTTAAATTTGGCCAAACTCTTTCAAACGAAACTTGTTCGGATAAAACTACTCCAAAAAAACCACCCGATGATTGACATTTATCCCTATTTTGCGGAACCTCAATATTGCGAACGTCTTCAAACTTGACGTACATTTCCAACATTTTTATCACAAGAATTTTCCAGTGTTCATCCGGAGTCCTAAAAAAATCTGTCAGAGTTTCATCGTCTACGATATTAAACTCAGCATAACAAACAATTTCTTGCGGAGTAACAGAATACGGATATCTTCCGGTTACTTTAATATTAACAGAACGTTTTCTCTTACTCATTTTTTTACATAACAACGAAACCGATCTATTATACTCCATTGTAAGTGGCAACTTAATAATACACTGTGGAGAACAACTATAACGTACTGAGTTATTCTCCACGACAACCTCACCTCCCCTCCCCCTCTCNCAAACAAATATTTCGGAATAAGTTAAAGTAAATAAAAAGGAATGCAGAAGATGTGGAGGATCCTGAATAGATTTTTAACGAAACAATAAAACTCCTTAAATAAGCAAAAAATCAATGCGGAGGTACAATAATTGAGGGTATAGCGCATTCATTATACCCGCTATATATGTAGCACTATAAATGCATGAGCTATAGCCACAATTATTGGTGGGTCCGTAATAATTCAAATATAGCGCATGTGTTGCATGCGCTATACCTTAGCGGACAAACGTGTCGTTAAGGTATAGTGCATTCAATCCATGCGTTATATATATAAATTGGTCATCAGTTAGTTTTTTCACCTATTTGTGTACTTTGAGTCCAAAAAATAATACTTTTGTTCTGGACTCTAAAATAGTACTAGTACATCATAATAGGAAAAGATCAGTCCCATTGAACTAGAAATTATCTAGATGGTATTTACTTCAACACATTGAAAAATAAATATGGTTCGGTGCACGAAGTATCTTGCATTTATAGAGGATCGGATCAAAATAACATGGTGTATGCAGAATCAAACAATACAAAACTTGATAAACGATAAATCAGAGTATAAAAGAAAAATATACTAAAGTAGGCATAATAATTTATTATGATTTGGTCATTCGATCTTTCACTAATGTAAAAAGATAAAATAAATTTTTGAGAGAATAATCTCCCTAAACACAGGGGCGGCTCAATACTATTGGGGGCTTAAAGCCAAACTTCCACAAGAGGCCTTTAACTTTTTCTATATAAGAAAAAATCATATATATATATATATATATATATATATATATATATATATATATATATTATTTAATTGAAACCTAATTTTCTAGCATTTTCTAATGCAAAATTATGAATAATTATTTTATTATCAATTTCTTCTAATAATTATTTTTCAATTGTTAATATAGCTAATCCATTCAATCTCTCTTGCGCCATGGTTTATCGTAATTAAGATTTTTTCAATTTAATTTAAAAAACTTCTTTCAAATTTCTAGTTTATGATCAAAGACGGCCAAAGGCAACTGTTACAGGAACTGTTATCAATATTCTATATGCAATATAAGCATCTGATAAAGAATCAAGCCTTTTTATCGGACTGAGTATATTAATTAGAGTACTACAGTCTCTTCTTTTGGGGATTGTATCAAAGATTCAACTTTTCTTTTCTTTTTTCTTACGTTTTGAATAGCCGGATTCATACTTTCTCTTTGACATATTTAAATTTTCACATATACTAAAAGGATAATATATGTGTACGTATTGAAAAT